ATAATTTCAATTTACTGTAGTTAAAACAGGAAAACAAACTGGATAAAATATCATATATTTTAGAATAAACATCCCACCCTTTTGCCAGGTTTGCTTCTACTACTTCCATGATTTCATTATTTACATTTAAATGTTTTACCTACATGAAAATTTCTTTGATTATTGGTATGAATTATTGATTATGGTCTTTTTCAAAAAAAGTTGGCCATTGTTCTAACACACTGAATGCACCATTTACCTTTTATCCACAGATTTAAATTTCATCTTACATAGACCTGGGCATGCTTCTGAAATTTTTCTTCTGTCCCATTGCCACCCTGATTTTATTACTGTAGATATATAATGTATAAATGGCAAGACTTCCTGAATGTAAATTTTTTCTTGACTTTTTAACTTATTGTTTCTTTTATAGACCTTAAAGTCATTTTGTTGAATTTCAAAAAAAAAAAAAGTTGCATCATTTATTCCAATCACCTTTCCTGTTATTTTTAATCATTGCACAGTTGTTTTAGCGTTTAGGGAAAAATAATCTAACTGTAACTTATAATTATTTTATTTTCTCTCCCCAAATTTACACTGGTCATGTATTTTTAGAGTTTTTGTAATGTCTAGAACTTTCAAAGAAAAAGTATCTTAAAATATTATGTATATACACAGATGTACACAATATGTGCATATACACAATATGTGCATATACACAATATATTCTACCTTTTTACTTTTTCTAATTCCTTTAAATTCTGGTTTTAACTGATTCCACTTTTTCTGTGAATCTTTTATTGTTATATTTCTAAGTCTTTGAATTAAAGCTCAATTCATTAAAATTTTTGTCAAAAATGAGAATATGCAATGTTTAAAATTTTTATCTCAAACTGATCATTTTTAATATTTGATATATAGATTTTTCATTGTTATTTTTATATAAATATAAAGTAAATTTTAGCTCTTTAAGTTTTTTTTTCCATTTATTTTTATTAGTTGGAGGCTAATTACTTTACAACATTGCAGTGGTTTTTGTCATACATTGAAATGAATTAGCCATGGATTTACATGCTCTTTTAAGTTAATATTTAAGAGAGTATTATTTAATTTTTTGACAATTGTTATTTTTACTAAATGTTATTAATTATTACTTTAATTATAGTTTGCCTAAGTATGAAACATAAACTTCTAATTTTTAAGAATGTATTGGTGTTTTTTGTTGATTAATAGATCAACTTTGAACAAACATTATATGGTGCCAGAAAATAAGGCATAGTCTCTAAAAAGTGATGTTTATTATTCAGAATTTCTCACTTATTTTTCCTATTGATCTGACAAAGACAAAATCAATTTTAAAAAATAATTATAATTGTGTTTTTCCCAATTTTCTTTGTATTTCTAAAGACATTGTCACTTGGATAAAATTCTTTCCATCTACTGGCATTAATGTATTGCCTTCTGTTTGGATGATAGTGTGAGTTTTGCCTTTTCCCCATTTGTCTCAATCAGTACTTGGGCAGAATATTTGTGTGTATGTGTATGTGTCTTGTATGTGTGATGAATGCAGAGGTGAAGCTAAATCAAGGTCTTCTAGCCAGATGCTATTTTGAACGGGAAGTGACCTTCCTTAGATCTGCTCACTTTCCATCCTTCATTTTGCCATCAGTCAAACATGGTAGAGACCTCATGAGGTGGAGTAAAGAAAAGTGATGGAGCCTAAGCTGTTACCTCAGCCTGCAAAGGCTGGTTACGACATCAGCAGGCTGGGCTTCATTTCCAGTTCCTTCTTGATTTTATTGTTCAGTCACTCAGTCGTGTCCAACACTGCAACCACATGGACTACAGTACCCCAGGCTTCCCCTGTCCCTCGCTATCTCCCAGAGTTTGCTCAAACTCATGTCCTTGAGTCAGTGATGCGATCCAACCATCTCATCCTCAGTCACCCCTTTCTCCTCCTGCCCTCAATCTTTACCAGCATCAGGGTCTTTTCCAATGAGTTGGCTCTTTGCATCAGGTGGCCAAAATATTAAAGCTTCAGCTTCTGCATCAGTCCTTCCAATGAATATTCAGGGTTAATTTCCTTTAAGATCGGCTGGTTTGATCTGCTTCCTGACCAAGGGATCTCAAGAGTCTTCTTCAGCACCACAGTGTGAAAGCATCAATTCTTCAGCGTTCAGCCTTTTTTATGGTCCAACTCTTACACCCGTACAGTTCAGTTCAGTCGCTCAGTACAGTTCAGTTCAGTCATTCAGTCATGTCTGACTCTTTGCGACCCCATGAACCACAGCATGCCAGAACTCCCTGTCCATCACCAGCTCCCAGAGTCCATCCAAACCCATGTCGATTGAGTCAGTGATGCCATCCAACCATCTCATCCTCTGTTATCCCCTTCTCCTCCTGCCCTCAATCTTGCCCAGCATCAGGGTCTTTTCTAATGAGTCAGCTCTTTGCATCAGGTGGTCAAAGTATTGGGGTTTCAGCTTTAAAATCAGTCCTACCAATGAACACCTAGGACTGATCTCCTTTAGGATGGACTGGTTGGATCTCCTTACAGTCCAAGGGACTGTCTTCTCTGACACCACAGTTCAAAAGCATCAATTCTTTGGTACTCAGCTTTCTTTATAGTCCAAATCTCACATCCATACATGACCACTGGAAAAACCATAGCCTTGACTAGATGGACCTTTGTTGACAAAGTAATGTCTCTGCTTTTTAATATGCTGTCTAGGTTGGTCATAACTTTCCTTCCAAGGAGTAAGCATCTTTTAATTTCATGGCTGCAATCACCATCTGCAGTGATTTTGGAGCCCAAAAAAATAAAGTCTGACACTGTTTCCACTGTTTCCCCATCTATTTCCCATGAAGTGATGGGACCAGATGCCATGATCTTAGTTTTCTGAATGTTGAGCTTTAAGCCAACTTTTTCACTCTCCTCTTTCACTTTCATCAAGAGGCTCTTTAGTTCTTCTTCACTTTCTGCCATAAGGGTGGTGTCATCTGCATATCTGAGGTTATTGATATTTCTCCCGGCAATCTTGATTCCAGCTTGTGCTTCTTCCAGCCCAGCGTTTCTCATGATGTACTCTGCATATAAGTTAAATAAGCAGGGTGACAATATACAGCCTTGACGTACTCCTTTTCCTATTTGGAACCAGTCTGTTGTTCCATGTCCAGTTCTAACTGTTGCTTCCTGACCTGCATACAGGTTTCTCAAGAGGCAGGTCAGGTGGTCTGGTATTCCCATCTCTTTCAGAATTTTCCACAGTTTATTGTGATCCACACAGTCAAAGGCTTTGGCATAGTCAATAAAGCAGAAATAGATGTTTTTCTGGAACTCTCTTGCTTTTTCGATGATCCAGCGGATGTTGGCAATTTGATCTCTGGTTCCTCTGCCTTTTCTAAAACCAGCTTGAACATCTGGAAGTTCACGGTTCACGTATTGCTGAAGCCTGGCTTGGAGAATTTTGAGCATTACTTTACTAGCGTGTGAGATGAGTGCAATTGTGCGGTAGTTTGAGCATTCTTTGGCATTGCCTTTCTTTGGGATTGGAATGAAAACTGACCTTTTCCAGTCCTGTGGCCACTGCTGAGTTTTCCAAATTTGCTGGCATATTGAGTGCAGCACTTTCACAGCATCATCTTCCAGAATTTGAAATAGCTCAACTGGAATTCCATCACCTCCAGTAGCTTTGTTCGTAGTGGTGCTTCCTCAGGCCCACTTGACTTCCAGGATGTCTGGCTCTAGGTGAGTGATCACACCATCATGGTTATCTGGGTCATGAAGATCTTCTTTGTACAGTTCTTCTGTGTATTCTTGCCACCTCTTCATAATATCTTCTGCTTCTGTTAGTCCCCTACCATTTCTGTCCTTTATTGAGCCCATCAATGTTCCCTTGGTATGTCTAATTATCTTAACGAGATCTCTAGTCTTTCCCATTCTATTGTTTTCCTCTATTTCTTTTCATTGATCACTGAGGAAGGCTTCCTAATTGCTCCTTGCTATTCTTTGGAACTCTGCATTCAAATGGTATATCTTTCCTTTTCTCCTTTACTTTTCACTTCCCTTCTACCACAGCTATTTGTAAGCCCTCCTCAGACAGCCATTTTCCTTTTTTGCATTTCTTTTTCTTGGGGATGGTCTTGCTCCCTGTCTCCTGTACAATGTCACTAACCTCCGTCCATAGTTCATCAGGCAGTCTGTCTGTCAGATCTATTCCCTTAAATCTATCTCTCACTTTCACTGTATAGTCATAAGGGATTTGATTTAGGTCAAAACTGAATGGTGTAGTGGTTTTCTCCAATTTCTTCAAGCATCAATTCTTCAGTGTTCAGCCTTTTTATGGCCCAACTCTTACATCCGTACATGACTACTGGAAAAACCATAGCTTTGCCTAGCTGGTCCATATTCCTCTTGCTCTATGATTGCAAGGGATGTTCAAAATGGCCATACCTCCAGGAATGACTTACATGTATTTAAATGTATGTTAAGGGAAATTTTAGAAAATCACTAAAACAGGTACACCTCAGTGGTAACTGTACTCTGCCCCTTAGGAAAGAGATCATGAAAATCAATGTCAGACTCACAGAAAGCCAGCTGTCCAGTGGGCAGGACACCCAATGTGACATCCTCTTTCCTAAAAATTCAGTAATCCATCACAGAGAAATTAAGACTGCTTTATTCCATCTCTCCCTTGGCTGGTGCTGTGATCAGAAGACTATCAAAAAGGAAACGCAAAACCAGTCAAAAGTCGCAGATCAGTGTTACTCTTCCGGCACCCTCTCCAGTAAACCCCATGTGCACCTCTTCCACGCCACCGTCCCACTCTCTGAAGTTTAACCTTTTATTTTATCCTGATATTTTTTGATCAAAGAGTCTTAAGGTTGATAAGGGTAATAAGAAATCCTTAGATTCTAGTCAAGTCCTATCTGGAATTTGAGTTCCCTTGGTTTTACATCATCCAAAGCATCCTTCATTTTCTTCTCCCATCTATTCACACATATATCATCTCAGTACTTACCTCTGAACTGTTTCTCATGCTGTTTGCACCCCCAGCTAGATGGTACATCTTCCTCTCCTTTGTCTAGTTGAATCCACTCTTCAAGGCTTAATTCAAGTTATACCTTCCCAAAGAATTTTTTGACCAGTAATTGATCCCTTTGTTTTTAAACATCCTTAGTCGATCTATGTGTAATAATACTCAGTATTCTCAAAATTGATTCTTACTGTCAAATAAACTAATAAGCTACTTGGGGCACATGGTAACCTATTCTCCATTGACCTAGTCTAGCACAATTGTTCAGTAAAGTCTTGGGAAACTGAGTTGCTTTTCTTGGCCCCCAAAAAGGAACTGGCATCACTCTAGTTTGGTTCTGAAAAGAGAAACGTAATTCCTCACATTTGAGTAAAAGTTCAACCCAAAAGATGGCTCATATGAGTGTGGTTTCTGATTCACATCTACACTCATCTGCCATGGTGAGAGCCTCCTCCTCACCCACTCCCAGCAGTGAGGTGTTTATTTGGACTTCTTGGCCCGTGTGCCATTTTCAGAGACTAGAATGCTTTTTCAGGCACATGCACACACAGAGTGAGGTGATCTCTCCCTTCTCAGGATCATGTAAGATATGGTCTGCTCTGATTTCATATCCAAATTCCATCTATTTTAATGTAAAGTAATTACACCATGTCAAGTTTCTTCCTGCAGCACCACGCATCTTACTCTCCACTGTCTAGCACCTCCTGTCATCTGTAAAGGGGGGCTAGGAACAGAGTGAGCTGTGTATGAAAGAACAAATGCATCAAGCCCCCAAACACCTCACCCTCCAACACTGACAGTCACCCCACTCCATCTCCTCTCAGAACTTCCTAATGTTAAGAACTGAGGGGTACAACACAAAACACCACCGCTTTACAATCCAGTAACACAGTCTCAGATCTGGATAGTGAGAAGGTTTTTGTCTGCCATCAGTTCAGAGAAGTATTTTAGACATGACTCCAGCCTTGGCCAAATGGAGTTCTACTGAATCACTCTCCACATTTGTGAGTCGGTGTTGGGGGGTGGCGCTGAAGATGTAATAGAGGTGTAAGCTTTGGTTGCATGAATTCTGCAAAATCATATATCATTTTTTAAATTCTTAAAATGTGTGTGTTGTAAATCTCTGTGCAAATACTTTCTTGCTAGAAGGAGACAGAACAAGAAAAAGAGAGGTGTTTGGGAAAGCCTGGTGAAGTGGCAGATAGCCTATAAGCTCCTTGAGGGCAGATGCTAATTCACACCGATACTGAAGGATCCAGTGACCTTCAGAGCACTCATATAGTACTAATCTGAACTTGCTAGATTGGGCTAAACTGAATCATCAAATGAAAAGATGTAGCTGAAATTGGATTCCTGACCTGTGGGCAGAGAATTAGGGTCATTCAGAAATTTATTAAGCAGGGTTGGATATAGAGTTTCTTTTGGTACAAAGACCAAATTCAGAAATTCCTCAACAGTGGTCTACTTCACATCCCTGAATGCATCCGCATTCCCCTCCTCCAAGACCAATGCTACATCCTATTCGTTGTTTTACCGTATCTACGTGCTGTAAGGACATCTGTTGCTGAGAAACCCCCCACCTACAATATGGACTTGTCATTTGGAGGAAGCTGAGAAGCTTCTGCAGCTTCTGGAACATGGGCTGCTGAACATCAGAGCTGGAAGGACTTTTTGAGATCATTGACAAAACAGAAAGTTGAGGTCTGAAATACCCAAGGGATCTTTGAGCATAAGCAAGAGAAATAAACTGACCTAATTAAACACTAAAGAAAAGATATCAAGCAGCTTCCAGAACTTATGGGATAAGGAGCCTGAAGTCTAAGGCTGAGCAGCAAGATGGGAGACAGAACAGGGACCACTTAGCCCTGGGATCCACTCCTACTAGAGTGAACATCACCTACATCTATTAACTTAGTCCCAAGTCCATGTCTAGGAAGAAAAATTGTGTTTGGTTGACCTTAGGTCATATGCTTGACCTTCATCCCTGAAAGGAAAAGAAAAGGAAGATTCCAGGGCAACAGCCTCAAGGATCTTTTTCTACTTCTCTGTAAAAGAGGAATAAATCTGGATTCTCTGTATCCCTCAAATGACATATAATCAGAGACAGAACATTTCTCCCAAGGGTTCTGTCACAGGTCCAATCCTACCTAACACTTAAAGGAATCCTCATATGAGTACACTATTTTTAAATGTTATAAATTAAGTTATAAACTATTAAATAAAACATGTTATATCCTCCTACCTGGATAAATATAGCTTTATAACAGCCTGTCAGATCAGATTTGAGCTTAGAATTCCCAAATGCCTTGGAATTCTATCTACACAAGTAGCTTTTGTTCAGTTGCTAAGTGGCGTCTGACTCTTTGCTAACCCATAGACTGCAACATGCCAGGCTTCCCTGTCCTTCACTATCTTCCACAGTTTGCTCAAACTCATGTCCATTGAGTTGATGATACCATCCAACCATGTCATCCTCAGTCATCCTCTTCTCCTCCTGCCTGCAATCTTTCCCAGCATCAGGGACTTTTCCAATGAGTTAACTCTTCATAAAAGGTAGCCAAAGTATTGGAGCTTTAGCACCAGTTCTGCCAATGAACCTTTAGGGTTGACTTCCTTTAAGATTGACTGGTTTCATCTCCTTGCAGTCCAAGGGATTCTCAAGAGTCTTCTCCAGCACCACAGTTTGAAAGCATCAATTCATCAGTGCTCAGTCTTCTTTATGGTCCAACTCATGTATGTACATGACTATTGGAAAAACCATAGCTTTGACTATATGGACTTTTGCTGGCAAAGTGATGTCTCTGCTTTTTAATATGCTGTCTAGGTTTGTCATAACTTTTCTTCCAAGGAGCAAACATCTTTTAATTTTATAGCTGCAGTCACTGTCCTCAGTGACTTTGGAGTCTGAGAAAATAAAGTCTATCACTTTCCATTTTTCCCCCATCTATTTGCCATGAAGTGATGGGACTGGATGCCATGATCTTAGTTTTTTGAATGTTGAGTTTTAAGCCAACTTTTTCACTCTCCTCCTTCACCTTCAAGAGGCTCTTTAGTTCCTCCTCACTTTCTGCCATTAGGATGGTATCATCTGCATATCTGAGTTATTGATATGTCTCCTGGCAATCTTGATTCCAGCTTGTGCTTCATCCAGCCTGGCATTTCACATGATGTACTCTGCATATAAATTAAACAAGTAGGGTGACAGTATACTGCCTTGATGTACTCCTTTCCCAATTTTGGTTCTAGTCTGGTTCTAGCTATTGCTTCTTATAATCAGAGACAGAACATTTCTCCCAAGGGTTCTGTCACAGGTCCAATCCTACCTAACACTTAAAGGAATCCTCATATGAGTACACTATTTTTAAATGTTATAAATTAAGTTATAAACTATTAAATAAAACATGTTATATCCTCCTACCTGGATAAATATAGCTTTATAACAGCCTGTCAGATCAGATTTGAGTTTAGAATTCCCAAATGCCTTGGAATTCTATCTACACAAGTAGCTTTTGTTCAGTTGCTAAGTGGCGTCTGACTCTTTGCTAACCCATAGACTGCAACATGCCAGGCTTCCCTGTCCTTCACTATCTTCCACAGTTTGCTCAAACTCATGTCCATTGAGTTGATGATACCATCCAACCATGTCATCCTCAGTCATCCTCTTCTCCTCCTGCCTGCAATCTTTCCCAGCATCAGGGACTTTTCCAATGAGTTAACTCTTCATAAAAGGTAGCCAAAGTATTGGAGCTTTAGCACCAGTTCTGCCAATGAACCTTTAGGGTTGACTTCCTTTAAGATTGACTGGTTTCATCTCCTTGCAGTCCAAGGGATTCTCAAGAGTCTTCTCCAGCACCACAGTTTGAAAGCATCAATTCATCAGTGCTCAGTCTTCTTTATGGTCCAACTCATGTATTTACATGACTATTGGAAAAACCATAGCTTTGACTATATGGACTTTTGCTGGCAAAGTGATGTCTCTGCTTTTTAATATGCTGTCTAGGTTTGTCATAACTTTTCTTCCAAGGAGCAAACATCTTTTAATTTTATAGCTGCAGTCACTGTCCTCAGTGACTTTGGAGTCTGAGAAAATAAAGTCTATCACTTTCCATTTTTCCCCCATCTATTTGCCATGAAGTGATGGGACTGGATGCCATGATCTTAGTTTTTTGAATGTTGAGTTTTAAGCCAACTTTTTCACTCTCCTCCTTCACCTTCAAGAGGCTCTTTAGTTCCTCCTCACTTTCTGCCATTAGGATGGTATCATCTGCATATCTGAGTTATTGATATGTCTCCTGGCAATCTTGATTCCAGCTTGTGCTTCATCCAGCCTGGCATTTCACATGATGTACTCTGCATATAAATTAAACAAGTAGGGTGACAGTATACTGCCTTGATGTACTCCTTTCCCAATTTTGGTTCTAGTCTGGTTCTAGCTATTGCTTCTTGACCTGCATACAGGTTTCTCAGGAGGCAGGTAAGGTGATCTGACATTCCCATCTCTTTAAAAATTTAAGATCACACAGTTTGTTGTGATCCACATAGTCTATGGCTTTAATGTGGTTAATGAAGAAGAAGCAGATATTTATACAAATAGAAAACACTCATTTCTACCCTGCCATCACAGAAGCCCCTCCCCAGCTTACAGACCACTTCCTTTCCAACTCTGCTCTCTCCTGCATCCTAAGGCCCTCCCATCCACACAAGTGAGCACCCAGCCTACATGCCATGCTGTCCATTCTACTCACAAACAGCAGACCCGTGGCCATGACTCCAACTGGGGTTTGTAGTCTGCACTTGAGAGGTGGGACCCAAGGAAGAGATGAATACAAACTTGGCCTTTCAGGATCATTTGGGCAGGAGGTCAGTATTACTAGTGTGGTCCAGAGAAGAAGGCGTGGGCTTCAGCCACGTGTCCTTGTCTTGTGGGGAGGGGCACAGCCAATGAGGTACAAGGTTGGGACTTTTCTTGTTGTATCTAAGGGAAGAGCTGCACTGTTAGTCGAGGGGGAGGAGAGTAGGGGCTAAAAAGAAAGAAAAAAAGGTATGTATTCCTCCATAGGCCCAGTCAAGGGAGGGCCTTTGCTTAAGATAACACAGCAAGCTATTGCATAATCAAGCAGAACTAGAACTAGGCCTTAAGTCACACATCTCATCACTTCAGCTCCAGTGCTAGGTAGCAGATCTGAAAAATCTAAGATGCCTAAATTTTCCTTTAGGGAGTTCCTACCCAAGTTCCTATATAGCTTCAGGTGGCACAATGGTAAAGAATATGCCTACCAATGCAGGAAACGTAGGTTCAATCCCTAGGTCAGGAAGATCCCTTGGAGGAGGAAATGGTAACCCACTCCAGTATTCTTGCCTGGAAAATTCCATGGACAGAGAAGCCTGGTGGGCTACAGCCCATGGGATTGAAAAGAGCTGGATATGCCTGAAGCAGCTGAGGATACACACAAGCACTCAGCCAGCCTAAGAATGGAAGCCTTGACCGCGTCTGGATATAAAGTAGCTATGTTGTATCTTGTAGGGCTGGACAGGCAAAAGATTGATGTGAGGGATGGAGACCGACTACTGAGTGAACAATAGCCTCGGGGATGTGATAGCTCAGCTACTATGGCCTGGCTCTGAGGCTGGTGAAATGTCAGGGGACCTGAGTTCTGATCTTGGTTCTGTCATTTGTTTTGTATTTATAAATATACTGTTACCTTTCCCTGGGTGCCTACAGTAAGTGAAGAAAAAAAGAAAAAAAATTGTTGGATCGCAGGAGCAGGAAGTCCAAGGGTGTTGGTTTCAGGTATAGTTGGATTCAGAGGCTCAGAAGAAGTCCTGAGAATAAACCCACTCAGTAAATGCTCAATTTTCATGAAACAAAAACTCCCGACTAGGAGTTATGATGATGCTGGATACTGGACAAGCTAGCCCATCTTTGCTGCCCCAAGACAATGGCTTTTCTGAAAATGAGGAGGAATGTCAAGCTGAAAGCCGTGAATGCAAATCCAGAGTTGTAAAGTTTAAAGCCTCAGAAGCTGGGTGAAAACTTGGCCTTCCTGCCTCCTGTGGGGGAACACCCCTTAACTCAGCCCCATTCTCTCCCTTTCTCAGACCATCCATCCATCTCCAGTGAGGGCAAGCTCCAAAAAGGAACAGACAGCACAGTCAAAATGCTCTCTCTGAACACCTTGGTCCTCTCCAGAGAAGGACNGGAAGGAAAGCACCCTCTCTGCTCCTCCTGGCTTCCTTCCTCATTCTGCCCAACTCCAAACCCTCACTGGCTCCCTATATTGACTGGATCCCAGGGAAACCAGTTGGAACTTCATTTCAAGCTCTACCCACAGGCCAAGAGCTTCTCCCAAACAGCCTCCCACCCGTCTTATCTCTGTAGCCCCTTCCCTCCAGTGAACCCTCCCTTTGTCCTAACAAAATGGACATAGAACCCTCCACATCAACCACGGGCTCTTCCCCACCGAAAGCCCCCCCTGCCCAGTCCTGCCTCAAGGCTCTGTCACTCTCCACATCCTCCAGGAATGTACCTTCTGCCTCCTCTGTCATCTTCCAGCTCACTCACTGTCCCATTAGCTCCTTGACCTGATGCCCATGGCCTCAGCAACCTCCTCACTCTTCCCATGTCGGCGCCCACCTCCCCCCATGACCCCGGACAGGGGCCCTGCCTTGGCCCCAGTGTCCAGACCAGAGGGCAGTGCTAACCCAGCCGGCTCACTCCCAAGGTCCCTGCCTTATGTCCTTTGCCACACGTCTGGCCCCTTTATTGTCCCAGGTCCCTCCGGAGCACGCAGCATTGTTCTCAGAGTCCCTCCTCACCCTACCTCTCCCCTCTGGTCCATGGCGAGATTCATCCCAGCTGCCCTTCCTGGTGGTTTGGGAGAGTGTTCATCAATGATTTCCTGTGATGTGGAATCTTTTGCAGCAGATTTATCCTCCTCTGTCTGAGGAACAAGTTTTCCCAAGCTGGGGAATTGATGGGCAGGCAGAGGCTACTGTGATGTCAGAGCAAGGGCAGCATCTCTTGTCTGTTTCTTTGAGCATCTCGAGCTCTTCATTCCCTCTTTCTCTTTCTCCACCCCTGTTTTCATTTCCTCTTGCTTTCTGGTCCCCGCTGTCTCCTTCTTCTCCATTCATTTCCCCCCTTTGCTTGGATAAAACTTATTACAAACCAACTTTGTCGGACAACTTTTGTAAACGGTGCCCAACATTTATCACATTTGTGTTCAATATTTTTCTTACATATAAAGACCTGACAGCCTGCTCTTCTATGATAGATGTACTTATTTCTTCTAAACTAT